TACGATTTGCACTTCGGAAGGAACCAGATACAAGTTCGACGTACGATTTGCACTTCAGTTCTCAGCCAGCCTCAGTCTGAGAAGAATATGCCTGGCCCATCCACAGTTAGCCATCTTTCGGGTCCAAATGACCCTGGTCACACTCAATTACCCTCTTAGCAGGTCGTAGATGGCGGGCGTTGCACCTGAACAGTGCCTTCGCCACTCCAGTTTCATCAGTGTGGGTTAAACACCCACTGGCTTGTATTCACGATAGACTCTTTGGTCCGCGTTTCAAGATGGGTAGGAAAAAGGAAACTCACCAGCATCCCAAATACGCAGGAATCCGAACGGGCCCAAAAAAAAGAGGCGCATGCTTAAGCCACCAGTACTTCCTAGAGTCGTGCCCGTTAACGCGCCACAATTTAAAAAAACGTACGGGCTACTACACGAGCTCTCAAATTCATCTGACTAGAAACGTTTCTACTCCTTTTTTTTCCGTGGTTGATAGCTGGACCAAGTACTGTTGGTTTAAGGTCCTCGACTGTCGTGACGGCCACCCGTGTGGGGTTTCAATCGCTCCCCACCAGTGCCGTACCCCCGTTCGCCGTTCACGGGGTTGGTGAATGCGGGCCGATGACCAGTCACAATTTTTGTGACCGGTAGTAGTTCAAGGAGTTCACGGAGAGCGGGATCGGTTTTTTTTTTTTTTTTGGTTGGGGGGGGTGTTTTTATTTATATAGGAGGGTGGGGGTCATCCAAGGGTAACCCCCCATAATGTTTTCACTTTTTTTTCACGAATAATATTTTTTTTAATTAAAAACGAGAAAAAAAAATGCAACCAGCCAAAATAAGCATTTTTGCTAGGTTGTTTTCCCGGGCGTCCGGGCACCCAACTTGTGCCCGGATACACGCTCGGGTGCCCGGCCGGGCATGAGCCCCGGGCAGGGTTCCATGGAAGCCCTAGCACAAAAATAAAAATAAAAATAAAAACGGAAGTAAAAAAATTCTGGAAAAGAAATATGTTGTGTAGAATTGCAATACAAACAACTTTTGGCTGAGGGTCATATCAGAATTCCTCACCGAATGAGAGATAAAAAAGAAAATAACAAAGTGACACTAAGAGATCCCCCTTCAAACCCCCTTAGCCCCTTTAAAAACAATTTATAACCCCCTTCCTCCCCCTTGACAGCCAACTCTCAAAAAATGAAAAGAGCCCGGATTTAGGGTACTCTGGGAGAGCGCAGAAAGGCAACAAAAAATAAAAATAAAAATTTATTATTCTTATTATTATTATTTGCGCGCCCAGGTGCCCGACCGGGCATGAAAATCTTCGTAGTTTTTTTGTTTGTTGTTTTGTAGGTCATTTCAATTTTATTTTATTTTATTACTGTCATCACGCTGTGGGGCTTGAGGCGACTGTAGCTGGGTTGAAGTCCCACCGTCCAAGTTGAGTTTTCTCAACGCTGAGCTTTCTATCACGTGTGGCATGGTGGGATGAAGCTCTGCCATTGATGTATTGCGAACCTAATGGTGCGGAAATATAGGAGAATAACCTATTAGATTTGGTCATTTTGTAGATTTTTTATTTGACGTGAAATCCATTTTGTCGTATGCTTTGGCCCTTTTGGTTTAGGCAGGAAACCATTTTAAGTTGAGAAAACAACCTTCCCCCCCCCCCTTAGGGTAGATTTCTCAACTTATGTGCCGTTCTTTTTTTTTGTTTTTTAACACATCATTACCTCCTGAAACGGAGGAAGTCTGACAAGTGTCTTTGGCTCTCTCGCATCAAACTCTCTTTCCTTTTTTGCGCAATGAACGCATTTCATTCACTCCGACTGTGCCAGACGTGTTTCATTTCTCCGAGTTACGTAATAAAAAATAAGGAGAAAAGTTGTTTCTAGCGTTTTTTTTCAGTTCTTTAATTTCTTGTTTCGAATTTATTAATGTCGAAATGGTGTCACACCGTTGGGCGGTGGGACTTCACCCCTGGGTGCTACCCCCCACCCCCCCCCAAAAAAAAAAAAAAAAAAAAACACCACTCTTTCGTGGTCTGGCTGTTCACAGGCGCAGGGCCAAATGATCGACCGATCATGATCAAGTGACCGGTGCCGGTCACGTTCACAGTGACGGCACTGCTCCCCATGACAATGCTGGTCACAACTGCCCATGAGGGCAGGCACCTCACATTCATCAAGGAGAGCGTCAACACGGTCGGCGTCATCTTCGACTGTCGTGACGGCCACCCGTTGGGGGTTTCAATCGCTCCCCACGGCAATGCTGGTCACAACAGCCGATGTCCAACTAGGAGGGTATAAAAAAAAATCCATTGCCGTTCACTTTGCCCAGGCGGGGACGCATGTTTTTCCTCCTCCCACTTCCCGCTTGGCAATTTCAATTTTCAAACACTCTTTAACTCTCTTTTCAAAGCTTTTTTCAACCTTTCTTCGCGGTACTCTATTGCTATCAGTATTTCTACTTCGGTTAAATCCGCATAAATTTTGACTTATGTCCGTTATTTAACGGTTCATGGACGTATCAATTGGGCTAGGCCCGTTGATTCCGCCCTACGTCCCGGCGCCGGTATCGGGCCTGGTCCAGAAACGGGACCTTTAAAAATAGAGAAAATAAAATAAAATAAAAGGAATAAAAATTAAAATTAAATCAATAAAAATAGGGAATAGATTAGCACTAGGCCTTGCGCGTCGTTTCGTTCGCGCCAGGCCCTCGGTTAGAGGCCCTGTTAGGCCAGCGGCAGGGGGCACAGGCCCTGGGAGCCGTTTCAGGCCCCGGGCGCCATTTCCAAAAGGCACAGGCCCTGGGCACCAGTTTAGGCACCAAACTCTGTTTCGTCTGGGCGGCAAGTTTAGGCGCCGGAGTTCCCACTCAGGTCACTACCTGAGGCCGGACCAACGTTATTTATAGCTGGTCGGCCTCAACTTCGGGAGGCATTCTTCAGGCATTGGTGGAGGTACTGAGTAGCGGTAGCTGTAGTCGACAATAGGATAGCAGTAGTCTTCCAGCGCTGGGCGCTGCGTTAGGACTTCGGCCATGAGCTAGCGCTGCAGCCTACTGCAGCGGAGGTTGTTGGGAGACTGGCTATGGCGGAGGCCAGGGAGACTCACCTGACGACTTGCCTGTGACGCCATCACTCCAGCTTCGACTTCAATTGGTCCATACCTGCATCAAGGCGACACCTACACACACACACACACACACACACACACACACACGCTTACAGGGGGCTAATTCAGAGAGGAGGGCAACTGGGGGCAAGAATTGACGGTGGAAAGGTTTGCAGGATGACTGGCTCCAGAGGGTGAGCATTAATTTTTTTCCCCCCTCTAGCTGCTCTGACCTGCCCAGTTGGCTGTTTCCTTTGTGCGTGAAAAATTCATGAAAGAATTCACGGGAATTCTCAAACAACTAATAATGAGAGGCGGGGGATCCCCGGAGGTACCGATTCCCATCTCCCTGCATACAGCAGTTTGAGCCCAGCGGAGGAGGTACCGCGGGAGGGGGCACCCCTATTGCCCTTTTGTTTCTTTTTTTCTGTTTCCTTTTTTTTTTGTGTTCCTTTTTTGTTTCTTTCTTTGTTTGCTTTTCCGCCCCCTTTTTTTTCCTGTCTCTTTTTCTTTCTTTTTCTTTTTCTTTCTTTTTTCTTTTTTCTCTTTTTTTTTTTTT